CCTAGTTGATGTGAGACTATCTCCTTGTTTTTGTCTTCTCCACAACCACCATGTTCTATTCCACCTATAGTGTTATGTCCATGGCTCACGCTCATGTATTGCGTGAAAGTTAAAAAGTTTTGAGAACATCAAAAGCATGAAACAATTGCTTGGCTTGTCATCGGGGTTGTGCATGATTTGTATATTTTGTGTGATGAAGATGGAGCATAGCCAGACTATATGATTTTATAGAGATAGCTTTCTTTGGCCATGTTATTTTGAGGAGACATGATTGCTTTATTAGTATGCTTGAAGTATTATCATTTTTATATCAATATTAAACTTTTGTTTTGAATCTTATGGATCTGAACATTCATGCCACAATAAAGAAAAATTATATGGATAAATATGTTACGTAGCATTCCACATCAAAAATTCTATTTTTATCATTTACCTACTCGAGGACGAGAAGGAACTAAGCTTGGGGATGCTTGATACGTCTCCAATGTATCTATAATTTTTTATTGTTCCATGTTGCTATATTATCTGTTTTGGATGTTTTATATGCATATATATGCTATTTTATAGTATTTTGGGGACTAACCTATTAACCTAGAGCCCAGTGCCAGTTTCTGTGTTTTCCTTGTTTTTGAGTTTTACAGAAAAGGAATACCAAATGGAGTTCAAACGAGCTGAAAATTTACGGTGATTTTTTATGGACCAGAAGAAGCCCCCGAAGCACAAGAGTTGGGCCAGAAGAGTTCTGTGTCAAGGAAAAGGGTGGAGGATGCGCCCACCCCTCTAGGGCGCGCCCCCCTGCCTTGTCGTTGACTCATGGACCCCCCTGACGTGAAATTGTCGCCAAAAATTCCTATAAATCCAGAAACCCCCCAGAAAGAAACCTAGACCGGGAGTTCCACCGCCGCAAGCCTCTGTAGCCATGAAAAACCAATCAGGATCCCGTTTCGGCACCCTGTTGGAAGGGGAAACCATCACCGGTGGCCATCTTCATAATCCCGGTGGTCTCCATGACGAGGAGGGAGTAGTTCACCCTCTGGGCTGAGGGTATGTACTAGTAGCTATGTCTTTGATCTCTCTCCCTCGTGTTCTTGATTTGGCACGATCTTGATGTACCGTGAGCTTTGCTACTATAGTTGGTTCATATTGTGTTTCCCCCTCTCTACCTTGTGATGAATTGAGTCTTTTGCCTTGAGGTTTTGTTATGTCGTATGGAAATCTTTGGATGTGAGAGCACTTGATGTTGTCTTGCGATGGGATATCCGTGGTGACAATGGGATTCTTTATTGATCCACTTGATGTATGTTTTGGTTATCAACTTGTGGATTCCCGTGGTGACATTGGGGTAATCTATGCATAGGGGTTGGTACGTGTTTTCATATTCCTTTCTCTGATAGAAATCTTGGGATACTCTTGGAGTTCTTTGTGTTGGATTGAATATTATGAATCTGAAGTTGTTTGATGCATATCGTATAATTGACCCACGGATACTTGTGGTGACATTGGAGTATCTAGGTGACATTAGGGTTGATTGATGTGTGTCATATGGTGTTATTTTACTACAAACTCTAGGGCTGTTTGTGACACTTATAGGAATAGCTCAATGGATTGATCGGAAAGAATAACTTGGAGGTGTTTTCGTACCCTACAAGCAATTTCTTCTTATGTTCTCCGTGATAGGAACTTTGGAATGATTCTTCGTTGCATGTTGAGGGATTGTTACATGATCTAATTATGTTATCATTGTTGAGAGAACTTGCACTAGTGAAAGTATGAACTCTAGGCCTTGGTTTCAAGCATTGCAATACCATTTTTGCCCACTTTTATTACTAGTTACCTCGTTGTTTTTATTTATTAAGATTACAAAAACCTATATCTACCATCCATATTGCACTTGTATCACCATCTCTTTGCCGAACTGGTGCACCTATACAATTTACCATTGTATTGGGTGTGTTGGGGACACAAGAGACTCTTTGTTATTTGGTTGCAGGGTTGTTTGAGAGAGACCATCTTCATCCTACGCCTCCCATGGATTGATAAACCTTAGGTCATCCACTTGAGGGAAATTTCCTATTGTTCTACAAAACTCTGCGCTTGGAGGCCCAACACGAGTCTACAAGAAGAATGTTGCGTAGTAGACATCACTGTCCGGCAAGGGAGAGGGGCGCCCCAGCCCCCTGTGGGCTGGTCTGTCCCTCCCTTGGCCGATTAAGGCCATATACCTACCGAGGGGTGTCTCAAACCCCTTTCGGTGACCCGATGGCTACCCGGTGCATCCCGAAACACTTCCGGTGTCCGAATACCATCGTCCTATATATCAATCTTTACCTCTCAACCATTTCGAGACTCCACGTCATGTCTGTGATCTCATTTGGAACTCCGAACAACATTTGGTCACCAAATCATATAACTCATATAACACTATATCGTCAATGAACGTTAAGCGTGCGGACCCTACGGGTTCGAGAACTATGTAGACATGACCGAGACACCTCTCCGGTCAATAACCAATAGCGGAACCTGGATGCCCATATTGGCTCCTACATATACTACGAAGATCTTTATCAGTTGAACCGTTATGACAACATACGCAATTCCCTTTGTCCATCGGTATGTTACTTGCCTGAGATTCAATCGTCGGTATATTCATACCTAGTTCAATCTCGTTACCAGCAAGTCTATTTACTCGTTCAATATTACATTACCTCGTAACTAACTCCTTAGTCATTTGCTTGCAAGCTTATGATGTCTATTACCGAGAGGGCCCAGAGATACCTCTCTGATACTCGGAGTGACAAATCCTAATCTCGATCTATGCCAACTCAACAAACACCTTTGAAGATATCTGTAGAGCATCTTTATGATCACCCAGTTATATTGTGACGTTTGATAGCCCACAAGGTATTCCTTCGGTATTCACGAGTTGCATAATCTCATAGTCGAAGAAATATTTATTTGACATGAAGAAAACAATAGCAATAAACTGAACGATCATTATGCTAAGCTAACGGATGAGTCTTGTTCATCACATCATTCTCCCAATGGTGTGATCCTATCAATTGACAACACATGTCTATGGTTAGGAAACCTTAACCATCTTTGACGAGCTAGTCTAGTTGAGGCTTACTAGGGACATAGTATTTATTTTTGTATTCACGCATGTATTTAAGTTTCCGATCAATACAATTCTAGCATGAATAATAAACCTTTATCATGCATAAGAAAATATAAAATAACAACTTTATTATTGCCTCTAGGGCATATTTCCTTCAGAAACCACGTCGGAGAAAAAAGACCCACTATCTATCTTAGGGTGAGCCATTCCCCACTATCTATCTTAGAGTGGGAGGGGTGCACGGGTGTAGGGGGTCGCCCGAGTTGTGCTGCGGGGTTTAGAGGGGTGGCCGGGGCGGCGATGGGGGGAGGCCGAGAGGAGGGCGGGGTGGAGAGGCTGTGCGTGGAAGCGCCCGCCTGCCGCGGGTGGTGGAGGCCGGCGGTTAGGGCGGGGCAGGCCGGCGGCGTCGCAAGGAAGAAGAGAGGGAGGTAGAAGATGAACAGTGCTCGATCTGTTTTCGGTCGTTGGATGAAGATCTAAAGGTTCTGGTTCAAAATGACTGATGAACTTTTATTTTGATGTGACTTATAGTCAATCCCTTTTACTTTTCCCGTAGTTGCTGTCTCTCTCTTGTTTTCCAGTGTCATTTCTTCCACGGCTTCTCTGCGAGATCCCGTGTTGATCTGCACGTCACGTACTTATTTTCAACAAAAGAAACCTCTCCACACAAAAAAAAACAAAAGAAACCTCTCCACACATATCACTGCCAAGTCAGTCACGACAAAAGCATGCCCACAAAGATCAAGCGAGCCCGAGTCTTGTTCGTCCGCTTCCCACGGAAACAATCTACTTCCTGGAAAGCAAATGCTCTATCTATACATAAATACAGAAGCTTCCGCGCTGAAGGTAAACACTCTGTTCACGGAGGCGGCCAGCTCAGACAAGTGCAAAGGTCTCACTGCCTCGGCACGTCGTTCGTGCAGTGCAAGGTGTCCCTCCCAGGCTCCCAGCTCTGCCATGGCGACCGGGCTAGGAGTCGCCGCGAAGGCCGTGCTGCTGGTGCTAGCGCCGGTGGTGATCTCCGTGGCGCTCTACAGCCCCAAGGACTTCTCTCCGGCGGAGCTGCCACCCGAGCACAGCTTCGGCGCTGACGTGTCCGCGCCGCGGCACGACGCCCGCGTGCTGGCCGCGAGCGAGCGGATCGGGGAGGGGCTGCTCCCGGGCCCCGAGGACCTGGCGTACGACGCCGCCGGCGGGTGGCTGTACACGGGGTGCGCCGACGGGTGGGTCCGCCGGGTGAGCGTGCCTGGCGGGGACGTGGAGGGCTGGGCCTACACCGGCGGCCGGCCGCTCGGCGTCGTGCTCGCGGGCGACGGCGGCATCGTCGTGGCGGACGCGGATAAGGTGAGTCAACTGCTCGAACCTCACTTGTTTGCTTGTCGACTTTGTTTCTTTGATAGTTCTTCCTCGATCTCGAGACAAAAATTCGCCATTTTTCGGGCTTCCTCTCGTTGGATTGAGGTGGTTATAGCATGAACTACGTATGTTGAGTTGTTGACAATCTTCAGAAATCAGAACCGTTTCTCACTTAAGTTCCACCAATCGAGAAGACAAAGGTAGATCAATTGACCTTGGCAGACAAAACACCCTTGGTAAAATCTCGCTATGTTGAGCTGATAGTACTTCGCAAAATCTTGGCATAGAGAACATTGTTATCATCTACAGAGTACAGAATGACCCACCAAATTGCACGAGGCAGTCAAGTCTTTCTGATTCTCTATTAGTACAAGTTGCATCGTGGTACAGCTCAAAGCTCACATGACAAACCAGAAGCATCACATCACAGACATGAGTTGACTTCCATAATGAGGAAATTACTAGTTGGTTAACCAGTAACAGCGCTAATCAGCAGCCACAGTATCGGAAAATTACTGAAGACCGTTGGATGGCCTGGCAGGGTTTGCTGAAGGTTAGGCAGGACAAGACGGTGGAGCTGCTGACGGACGCGGCGGAGGGCCTCAAGTTCGCCCTGACGGACGGCGTGGACATCGCCGCCGACGGCACCATCTACTTCACCGACGCCTCGTACAAGTACAGCCTCGCTCACCACTTTCTGGACGTGCTCGAGGCACGGCCCCACGGCCGGCTCATGAGCTTCGACCCCTCCACGCACCGGACCTCCGTGCTCGCGCGCGACCTCTACTTCGCCAACGGCGTCGCCGTCGCGCCGGACCAGGACTCGCTCATCTTCTGTGAGACGGTCATGTAAGCATGCACCCGCCCGTTGTACGTGCATCTGAAGCTTGCACGCTGCGGTGCGGTCTGACCGGCTGACGCCATTGACTGCAGGAGGAGGTGCTCGAGGTATCACATCAGGGGCGACAAGGCAGGCACGGTGGAGAGCTTCATCGACAGCCTGCCGGGGCTCCCGGACAACATCCGATACGACGGCGAGGGCCGGTACTGGATCGCGCTCTCGGCGGTACGCACAATTTTGCAGCCAAAAAATCTTTGCCTTGCCACCGCATATTTCTTGAAACCTGCATGGTAAAATTAATCAAATCGCGTTGCCGGCGATGGGCACCTGCGTGCGTGCGTGCAGGGGAGGACGCTGCAGTTGGACGTGTTGATGTGGTCGCCCTTGCTGCGGAAGCTCGTGTACATGGTGGAGAAGTACGTGATGGCGGTGCCGCAGGGCCTGAGGGACGCGGGGACGATGAGCGTGGCTCTCAACGGGGAGCCGGTGACCATGTACACTGACCCGGGACTCGCGCTCGCCACCGGCTGGCTCAAGGTCGGGGGCTACCTCTACTACGGGTCGCTGGCAAGCTCGTACATCAGCAGGGTCGACCTCACCAAATCATCCATCGAAGCCTAGCTAGCTAGGACGGTCAACTCATCATCTCTCGATTGATTAATTGTTCGTTCTGATGATGAACTCGTGGTACTTTTTTTTAAGGACACTTGATGTCAAAAACGCTCTTATATTATGAGAAAGAGAGAGTAGATGATACCCCACACCTATTGCAGAAATATTTTGCAATGTATTTAAATAATATATGATTGTATGGAACATGAATGTTTAGCATATGATAACTGAAAGTACATATGATTTATTGTGTTTAATTATTGCACACTTGTATATTACTTATGTGGGTTGAATATGTGTTTTCCTTGTACTTTTTAATCGGTCTGGTAAAAAAAGGTTTGAAACTTTCTAAGAATGATCACCATGGTGGTGTTTTTTTCAAAGTTTTTGGAAACTTTCATTTTTTTTGTCAAACTTTGAACAAAAAGGGGCCAAATATGTATTTTTCTTGTATTTTTTTGGCAAAAAGGTTTGAAACTTGCCCATAATGATCACCATGGTAGTTTTGATTTTGCATAATATTGCAAAAGTTGTTTTGGGCACTTTCAAATTTTTGTCAACTTTTGACCAAAACAGGGTTGACTATGATTTTGCTTGTATGGTTTAATCCGTTTGGCAAAAAAAATGAAACTTTCCTAGAATGACCATCATGGCAGTGTTAATTTTACATATGTTTCTGGATTTTTTTTTTAAAAATAATTTTAGTGACGTGGCATCTAACTGGGCAGTCAACTGGTCAAAACCACCCATGTCATCAAAAACTGGTTTGAGGAGAGAGTGGGATTGAAACTTGACCGGTTTTGATAGTTCAAATTTGTAACTTAGACAGTTTGAAAGTTCATGTTGATTCATAGATGCTTGTGACCGTTCAGGTTTGGTTCTCATAGCATAATAGAATGAAAAAACTTATGCATATTTGCAGGTTTGAGGTAGGTTTTTTCTATGCATGATTGCATGCTATGATTGATTTTTTTCTCATGCCGGTTGCGCGGTAAGATGGCATGCCTGCATTTTATGATAAAGAAATTAGTGGGGCTAGCTATTTAGATATATGATAGTGTTTACAAGTTGCGAAGAGACATGCACTTGGGATCAATTTTCGCTTTGTTTGCAAGACAAGGAAACTTTACTTCCGATCTTTGTATTTCGAGATAACGAAGTGCCAACTAAAACTCCACATAGGCTTCTTTTTTTGGTAATGTCAATATGGCTAGTACTATTGATTTTCAAATTCAGTTACTTCGTTCACAGTTAGACGAGCCTTTATTGAGTAACAAAAGATAATGGTTCATCGACCCACTTACATGAGACATGCCTCAAAAATCTCGCCAAAGTCGTAGCTAGCTAAATCGACGAATCCAGTTACGGAAATAGTTGCAAAAACCTGTAGAGAACCAAACATCATTGAATTGCCTTGATAATAGTAGAGCATCACGTACAACAGAGATTATCGGTAGCGCTAAGCATGTCAGCTGAGGCACCACCCCTATCTAGGCATACATCCTCTCCATCATCACCAGATCAGATCGACAACCTTCCTTACAATGATGTGCTGCCTCACCATACCTAAAGGTGTGATCCATCAAATCACTAGTTACCTGAGAAACTGCTTCTGGAGAAAATATGGTTCCATGGAAATAGGCGCAGCCCTCATCGCTTGGGACTCCATTTGCAAACCTAACGCACATGGTGGATTGGGTATATTGGATATCACAACTCACAACAGAGCCCTTTTGATGAAATTCCTCCACAATTTTTTCAATAAGGAAGATGTACCTTGGGTCAACATCATTTGGGAAGCTCATTACCAAGATGCTCTCCCAAGTGACAAGATGGTTGGGTCGTTCTGGTGGAAATCGCTGCTTAAATTGCTTCCACTTTACAAAAGCCATGCTATATGCAAACCTGGTACTGGAGATACAATTACCTTCTGGTCTGATAATTGGACAGGTCAACCTGTGTTGGAGAAATTCCCAGAACTTTGTTCTTATGCGCTTAATAAGGCCTCCTCTCTATGGCTGAAGTCACTAATCAGCAAGATCTCAGTTTGCATTTCCACAAACCATTATGTTCCCAAGCATTCCAACAATTCAACGAGCTCACTGCACTGCTAGTCAATAGAGAGAATTCCACGGATAAGGACATATGGAAGTATACTTGGTCAAAGCAGCAATACTCATCTATGAAGATGTACAAGAATATTATGGGACCCAGTTTTGAACATGGTGCTTTTAAGAAACTTTGGAAAACCTCATGTTGACTCAGATATCAGATATTCTTCTGGCTACTACTTCATGATAAGATCAACACCAATAATATGATTGCCAGAAGAAAGATGCACCTACCAGACTATTCTTGTACGCTTTGCTCTGACGGTGTTGAGGAAACACTGGGTCACCTCTTCTGGGATTGCTCATTTGCACTTTCATGCTGGGATTTTATTGCCCCTGGAAGGCACCGGGGCATTTCCTCTTTCGATGAGATTTCAAACATATCCAGACTTCTTCCACAGGACATTGCTCTGGACATCATTCTAGCAAGCTGCTGGGGCATTTGGTCTATAAGAAATGATAAAATATTTCGAACAGATGCAGCACGTCTAGATACCTGGAAATTCTATGTGAAGGAAAGACTCTGGGAGGCACAACTTCGAGCACAAGCTAGGAAAGCAGAACTACTCAAGTCCTGGTCAGATATCCATTTGTAATATGATTGTCCTTCTGTTTCCTAGAGAGGGAATTGGATGAATGTGGCATCATGCCTGATGTATTATATTATACATTTTGTTGTTATGGTTTTCAATTAATGAAAATACCATAGAACGATTGTTCTACGGTCCAGATTTCAAAAAAAACTTGCTTACAAATCTAAAAGAAGCGGTCGTCGAAGAAGACAATGCTGCTGGTGTCAGTGCTCATGAATGCACGCCGGCGAATAATAACAAGACCCAACCCATTGTCCATGATGATCGGTGCGGGACGAAACTCCCAAGCTCCTTGGTAGCAATCAAGCAAACACAACAGAAATGGGATTAGAGCCAGAGGACTTGTATAGATAATATCACTATCAGAATAATGTTAGCATAACACCAAAATGTAACCAAAGCAAACTTCTAACAAACATGCTGAGAGACGAGAAACTCATCCCAATGGTGCCGGTGCGAAGCTGGAGTTTTGATGGGAGCTGGGATTGCATCGGCAACTAGGGTTTCATCCCAACCCCGTCATGTGACTTACTCCTAATCATATTTTTTAAATGCAGATAGGTTCATTTTACGAAAAATTATCAAAGAAATAATATTCACGAAAAAGATCCAAAAATGCTAAAAAATGTACATAGGCATGTTCACTGTTTGTGTTATTTTTTTTCATATTGTTGACATTGCATGTTTTCTATGTGCAACTGCACTATCACTTTTTTGTTATTTATTTTGTATTTTTTTGCAATTGTGACTTTTTGTGTACAATTGCACTTTCACTTCTTTTTTTATATTGGTTGCAATTCTGCACTCTTTTAGTGTAATTCCATCTTTAATTTTTCTTTCTTATATTTTTGTACTCGTTGCAATTGTTTTTTAAATTCACACTCTTTAAGAACTGCGAAGAGGTGCAAAGATACTTAACCGTTAATTGATATTTTTTTTGCTTTGCATGATATGTGATCATGTTACATGCACGGTTGTGTGAGTTGCGCAAACCTAACCGTTCGACGCGGAAACGACAATCTCCTAACAAAGATTTGTATAATTTCAAAATAGAAAGCTTCACAAAAAAAAGTGTCAGATCTTTTTTTGATATACAAAAGAAAGTGGCAGATTTATTTTTTGTGAGGGAAAGAAAGTTTTTTTTTAGGGTTGTGAGTAAAAGAAAGTGGCAGATGGAGTCCCAAGGGCCGCGCTAGAACAAAAGGGCCTCAAACCCATAGCAGGTACCAAACCGCACCTCCCACGCTTTCAGCCCAGCTTGACCGACTGCAAACAGTAGTCCAAATCGAAATTGTTTTTTTCTTCCCAACAACACGTAACGTAGTTGAGTCGGTGCACCAGCCCAGCCCCGTAGGCGCTACGTCCTCTTGGAGTTGGAGTCCGCCTCGGCCCCGTCCCCCGCCGTGTATATCAAGGCGAGCACGCAGCGCCGTCGCCCCAACGAGTTTCCCCGGTGCGTGCTCCAAGGTTTTCGTCCTACAGCGCCCTACCCTCGCCCGAAGCACATGCAGATGCAGTCGGCCGACGACGGCCCGACGGCCCCACCAATCGCGGCGCTGATCAAGCGGCACCGCCCGTGGGAAGAACTGCAGAACGTGGCCCTCGCGATCATCGGCCACACCTACGCCGCGGCGCTCCAGATCGTCGGGGGGACGCAGCACGAGGCGGCCGACGTCGATAGTGGCGTCGTGAAGCTCTGCCGGCCCATCGACCCCGCGGACCCGGACTCGCCGGTGCTGACCGTCCACGCCGGCGCCAGCCACTGCTGCATCGCCTTCAACAACACGCGCGGCGACGCGGAGGCGTTCCTGAGATACACCTGCCCGAGGGGGAAGAGCAGGCCCACCCACTGCCTCGACCGGGTCAGCATCAGCATCTCGCCGGGGACTCTCCACCTGGCCCGCGTCAACGATCGGCATCTCGCCGGGGGCTACAGAGGCCGCGTCGACCAAGTTGGGAGCAGCCGGCAGGATCTCGCGATACTCGACGCCATCATGTCGCGCCTCGATACCGCGATAGGCGTGCAGCAGGAGCTGCTCCTCAAGGCGAATGCGGCCAAGTGCGGCTCGTCCCCGAAGGTCGCCGAGATCAGCGAGGTTTTCAAGGTTCTCCGGGAGATGAGAGACGAGATGGACCTCGAGGCCGTCATGCGCAGGAGACTCCAGAAGCGGCGCTGCCAGCTCGAAGAGGGCGCCGTCGCCCGGCCAGACCAAGATGAGCACGCCGACGCGACCGAGGTGCTGACGAAGAGGTTGAAGACGCTGAGAGTACGCTCAAGCTCTAGGGTGCAGCAGATGGATGTGCT